CCTCTCCCTAGGAGGCCGTCCTGGATCCGCCTATGGACTCTGAAGTCCTTTCAGTCATAGGCTGAGAAATGCTAGCTGTATCAAAACGTCTTCGCTACCGTCGTAATCCATCAGCTATTCTGTCATCGCTTTCGATAATGCCGATCACCAGCAACAACAAAAAGCAACGCATTAGGAGCGGTACTTCTAAATCCTTCAAGAAGCAGAGATATCAAGAAAGTATGCAAAAAGGGCGATCGATTACATAGCACTAGTCAGAAAAAAGCTAGAAATAGAGCACTTAAGCTCCCTTCCCCCTTCCCCCTCTTCCCCAGATCAATTCTGAACAATATTTTAGAACATTTTTTTTTTGCCGAAAAAAAAAAACAAGCTAAGGGCAACCCATGATGAAGGACTATACATACAGATGATGGAAAGGCTTCCAGTCAATGAAACACCTCATTTTTACCTCGATGAGGTAAAGCCCGAGCAAAATTACTGAGGTTCAACACAAACTGGTGCCATATTCGAAACGGCAAGCTCTATTACATGCTTCTTTTTTTAGAAAAGGCTGAGATGGCGTTCTTTTCAGGCGGCAGGATGACTATCAGCGCTAATTACAGGAACTGAAAGAAAAGCTGCTGCTTGGAAGGGGAAAGGGGAGGGGGGAAGAATCAGATTTGCAGCTGTTTTTCCGATATTTTAGGTAAATTAACTTGATAAATGGGATTATTTTTTATTATTTTGTAATTCTCACAATAACAAGTTGCCTTGCCTTGATTTCCGAAACAATCGAAAGCTGATGAGCAAGCGAACTGTAGAGGCAGTCACCGTCCGGTGGGATTTCGTGCATCACAAGTCCTCGTTCCGAAAGAATCCGTTCTATTGCATCCATTTCTAATTTTCCTAAATTTCGACACAATTAAACAAAACATCTGCCTTGTTATGTAAAAATTACATAGCAAAAATGTAAAAAAAAAAATGTAAAATTATAAATTTTATAGTTCGACTATAATAGCAAAAAGCTATAAAACTATAGCAAAAAAACTATAAAAAGTAATGAAATAATAAAAATTATACAGTGAAAACTATAGTGCAGTAAAAAAGTACAACTACAGTAAAAACTATTAAAAAGTATAAAGTAAAAATCATGAAAAATGGCAAAAAAAGTGTAAAACTATGAAAGTGTAAAACAAAGTAAAAAGTAAAAAATTTAAAAAAAAGGTAAATAAAAATGTAAAAAAAAAAATTCCTATAAAAAATACCACGTAAAAAAATTAAAAAAAAAGCATAACTAGTTATCTAGAAAAAATGGCTGTAAAATCTGCCTTACTTCGTGTACTTTTAGCATTCGTTTTGTCCGCTTCTGCAGCTTCTTCAAGCTTCCTATTCAATTCCGCCTTTTTTTCCTGCAAAAGCATACGATCTTTTTACATTCCTACTAAAACATAAATGATCGGAACATTAGTACTCTTTTCTGTATAAAAATTCGTTTCGATTTCCACCTCCCTCTGATTTTCTTTTTTTTTATTTTTTGGTTAATATGTTCAAAATTATGGTTTGATTTTGGTCAAAAATGCCAACCAAAAATACACATTTTTGTGTTCCAAAGTGACTTATTGGGAGGAGAAAAATTCCTCATCGCTTCTTTTGGCTCCGATGAAACAACAGCAGCGGAAACAAAAGTCAAAATTTGAAATTACCGTTTCTACATACACTCACGAAAGTGCTTAAATCAAGATTATTAAGTCCACCTGGGCAAACAGTCCGTGCACCCCATGTTAATGATGTTACTAGGATGCTCCCATACGCCGAGTGTAGCTGTGCAAAGCTTTTCGATTTTGAACTGCATATCTCCAGTTAGTACCCACTGCCTGTTTGATATGCGTAGAAACTTTTAAAAATCTTTTTAAAAAAATCATTTTTTTTTAATATTTTCATGCAAATGGAAGAAGTTTTAACATCATATTCGAAATGTAAAATAAATAGCAACGCGCACCAGACTAGCTGGTGCGATCATGCGTTTTTTGCAATTCCGCCCATCGAACGATTGCC